TGCTCGTCCTCACCACGACTTACAGAGTGGCCACCTTTCAGTTGCATGGTAGCCACATGGAGCTAGTAGCTACCATATAGGACAGCACAGCTCTAGATCTAACGACCATCTACAAAAACTGAAGGGGACAAAAGAACATGGTAAATGATGCCAGGAGGATGTGATAAGAAAATCCAGACTGTGGTAAATACTACAGGACAAATTACCCCGTTTCAACAAGTAAATTTTTTTTTTTTTTTTTGTCTTCTTTTTTCGTGTCCGGCAACGGATCGCAGCCCTCAGTGTCGCGCCCGTACCGGACCGGGACCGGCAACGGGATCGCAACCCTCGGTGCTGCACCCGCACCTCGCTCAGCCAGTGAGCGGGAACCGGTCTGTATGTGGGATCCGAACCCTCGGCGGGAGCGCCGCCGCGCTTCCCAAGCAGTGCGCTATAGCAGTGCGCCACTGGGCCGGCCCTCAACAAGTAAATTTTAATGAAAGAAAGAGAAAGAAGAGACCTGTAGATTAAAAGAGATTTGGAGACAAACAGTTGTGATGTGTGAACCTTATTTGGATACTGATTCAAGGAAACTATTGTAACAATTTGTAATACTTATGATAGAATTGGAAATGTGAACACTGCCTGAGTGTTTCATGTCATTAATAAGGATAAGGAATTACTGTTAGTTTTTATTAGATGTGATAATGGTATTGTGGTTGTTTTTTTTAAATAGTCCTTATATTTTAGAGTTACATGTTGAAGTATAAGTACAGACAAAATGACATACCTAGTATTAGCTTCATAATTTCACAAAAGGGGGGCTGGCCTGGTGGCGCACTGCTACAGTGCGCCGCTTGGGAGTGCGATGGCTCTCCCGCCGAGGGTTCGGATCCCACATACAGACCGGCCGCTCACTGGCTGAGCGAGGTGCGGGCGCAACACCGAGGGTTGCGATCCCGTTGCTGGTCCCGGTCCGGTACGGGCGCGACACTGAGGGTTGCGATCCGTTGCCGGTCACGAAAAAAGACAAAAAAAGGAAAATAATAATAATAATAATAATTACACAAAAGGGAGAGAGTGAAACAAGATGGGCCATAAATTGATCTTATAAAAGTTGAATTATGTGGGTATATGTGGGTTCATTATACAATTTTCTCTACTTTCATAGTTTTCTGAAAGAATTCTTCATGTATGAACACTAACGAGAGACTTTGCAAAGTTTGTGGGAAAATGGGATTAAAAGATTAAAAATAAAAAACGTAAACTTTATTTCTCAACATAAGCTCCATCAAGTTCAAAACACTTTTGGAAGCAATGATACCAGCCATTTAGTGCATCCTTAAAGAACTGAGGGTCATGGGAGTTTAACCGTGTCCATGCTGTCTTTTTTACATTATTGATTGAAGAAAAATGGGTGCCCCTTAAAGATATTTTAAGATTAGAAAGTGAAAGAAGTCAGGAGCCAGCCAAATCAGGCCTAACAACTTCCCATCAAAACTCTTGCAAAATTGCCCTTGTTTGATGAGAGAAATAAGCAGGAGCACTGTCGTGGTGAGGGACTCTCTGGTGAAGCTTTCCCAAGTGTTTTTCTGCTAACACTTTAGCTAACTTTCTCAAAACTCTCTCATAATAAGCAGATGTTATCATTCTTTGACCCTCCAGAAAGTTGGCAAGCAAAATGCCTTGAACATCCCCCAAAAACTTTCCTTGACCTTTGCTCTTGACTGTTCCACTTTTGCTTTGACTGGGTCCCTTCCACCTCTTGGTAGCCATGGCTTTGTGCTTTATATTCAGGGTTGTACTGGTAAAGCCATGTTTCATCTCCTGTTAACAGTTCTTTGAAGAAATGCTTCTGGATCTCGATCCCACTTGTTCAAAATTTCCACTGAAGGCTCTGCTCTTGTCTGCGGCTGATCTAGGTGCAACAGTTTTGGCATCCATTGAGCAGAAAGTTTGCTCAAGTGTAATTTTTTATCAGAATTGTGTAATCTGAGCCATTTGTGATGTCTGTGATGTTGGCTGTTGTTTCTGATGTTAATCGTCAGTCCTCTTTGATTAGGGCATGAACAAGATTAATTTTTTCTTGGCAAATTGATGTGGAGCGTCTGCCACTGCAGGTTTCATCTTCAACGTTGTCCCTTTTTAAAACAAGTTATGCATTCGTAAACTGCTGATTCCTTTGGGGCATTTTGTAAATCATCAGTGATTTCACCATACTTCCACCCAAGCTTCACCATCAATTTGATGTTTGTTCTTTCTTCAATTTTAGCACGATTCATGTTGCTGTGATAGGGGCTCACTTCAGACTGCTGTCTTATCCTTCTTACTGCCTCAAACTAGATCCTGTTCGATGTTTTATAATAAGTTAATATGAGTTTATTTTGGTGCAAAGAAATTTTGCAATCCATGCATAGTTTTTTTATAATACACATTTTCTTTTCTTTTTTTTTTTTTTGTCTTTTTTCCGTGTCCGGCAACGGATCGCAACCCTCAGTGTTGCCCTCGTACCGGACCGGGGACCGGCGACGGGATTGCAAGCCTCGGCGTTGCTCCCGCGCCTCGCTCAGCCAGTGAGCGGGAGCCAGTCTGTACGTGGGATCCGAACCCTCGGACAGGAGCGCCGCCGCGCTTCCCAAGCGGCGCACTATCCAGTGCGCCACCGGGCCGGCCCCCTTTTTGTCTTTTTTCGTGTCTGGCAACGGATCGCAACCCTCAGTGTTGCCCTCGTACCGGACCGGGGACCGGCGACGGGATTGCAAGCCTCGGCGTTGCTCCCGCGCCTCGCTCAGCCAGTGAGCGGGAACCGGTCTGTATGTGGGATCCGAACCCTTGGAGGGAGCGCGGCGGCGCTCCTGTCCGAGGGTTCGGATCCCACGTACAGACTGGCTCCCGCTCACTGGCTGAGCGAGGCGCGGGAGCAACGCCGAGGCTTGCAATCCCGTCGCCGGTCCCCGGTCCGGTACGAGGGCAACACTGAGGGTTGCGATCCGTTGCCGGACAAGCAAAAAAGACAAAAAAAAAAAAAAAAAAAA